TAAATGATACATAACAATTATAATTTATCTTATTATCCTATCCTGGGCCTTGGTGTAGCCCCTAAGTCAGGTCATTTAACCTCCTCTCCACATAGAAAGCAAACTGTAGGAAATGCATGTAGAGGAGCCTAAAGCCTGAGCTTCTGACTCACGCATCCTCTAACTACTTGAAACTTTGCCGTGTTTAATATAAGCAGCTGTTTTCTGTCATAACTGGATACATATGACAGAAAACAGGCAAAAATAGTAGAAATAAACGCGAAGCTGACCGATCCAGTTCGCAGTAGATCGGCAGGACAGCCGTGTGGCACAGAAAGGAGAAGGCCATGGTGGGGATGGCATAGGCACTCTGCAACACAAACACACACACACACACACATCAGTCAGAGCACAGCCGTCATTAACAAATTAACAACCTACTCAGTTACACTGGAGGGAGGAGGTAGGTGGGTCAAGGTATGGTCCTCATAGTAGTAATTACTGCTTGGGCTGCTAAGAGTGAGGATGCAAATCGAAAAGTGTGAACTTTCTGAACTTTTCTTCCACTAAATGCATCTTATACTACGTGCAAGTATACATCTATAGTGCCGTGTCAGCACATTATAGGAAACGGTCGAGAAAGCGTAAATCGGTGTCACGTGTCAGCTGCGTAGTGTGCTTGAGTTCCACATGTACAGGTTACACTTCACAGGTGAGAGTGTGACCTGTCAACACAGTGGAGCAGCTGCAGCAGATCTACGTTTAACAGCTTCTCACTGCCACCTCAAAGCCGCCGCGTGTTCAGTGCCGAGGAAAAACGCTGGTTTCCTATACGTACCTTACTAGAGATGACGAAGAGTTTTGGAGAACACTCTGAGTCAGAGGAATTTGATATCTGGAGAAACAAGGTGAAAAAAAGTGAGCCGGTTATTTCTAGAAAGAGATGAGTTCAGCAGTGCTGCTGCAAATAGTAAAGCTTCATTTCAAGCTTAAGGGAAACAAGTATTCTAATATAGCTCATAGCAGGTTTGTTGTATGGTCTGTTTAATTCCTAAAAGGTCAGAGTTGATTTCCAGGATCAGGCAAGGTTATCTGGACTTCCTGTCCTTCAGGAACAGCATCAGTTACCATACACAGATCTGTGCAGCCTTCTCTGGTCCTCATCAGCCTGTGCAGACACAATCAGTAAGCTCAATCTCCTGGGCTTTCCTCTTAATCCCGTGCCCGTGACCTTCTGGACCATACTGCACCAGATCTGTGTTGTTTTCAAAAGAGTATTTATGTGCTGAAAGAAATGCTGTTCTTACCTTCAAGGCACCTGAAAGGGACGTTATATTGTGGGGCAGTGGGCAGGGGATGGACCATTTCTTGACCACGACCTACACGAGATAATAAATAAAGCCAAAAATGAAAAAACAAACAAACAAACAGATGGACGTATGGAGGTTCGTGTCAGAGCTTACCACAACTGCAAAGTACAGCATGAATAAGAAGGCGAGACTACTAGTGTATCCCAGGAAGCCTGTAAGGACGGGAGAAAGATCTATCAAGAAGCAACCAAACAAGAAAAAAAATAAATAACACGCTTGAGGATCGCTTAACGTACCAATTTTAGGCAACAATGACAGAGGTAGAACGACACAAAGTGTGATTATGATCAGAAGCAGCCTGCCATCCTCATACCAGGCATTTCTGGAAAATAAATAAATGAATGAATGAATAAAAACAGCAAGGGAGTGAACTATTACAGGCAAGTGAACTATTACAGGTTAACACTGAATTAAGCCACGTTTTATTATCAGGTCAGGGATAGGAGAGAGTATTCTTCCATGCCTTAAGATGGGCCGGCTATGGAAATTTGTCTCCATTTCGTGCTCAAATACAGAGCGACAGATTCATCATGTGGTATGAATTAAAGGCTTTAGCTCTTGCAAACCATAACAATTATGTAATTCACATGCAAACGTTGTGTCGCTCCATCAGATGAGACCACATTTCACTTGCTGGGTTTTTGGAGAGGGGGAATAATATTTTCCTTTGCCGAGGGATAGCCTTGGCAGTTCATTCGAGATCGGGGAGTAAAATGAGGAGGAGGAGGGGGGTGGGGGCTTGGCGTTCGAGGTGACACATGTGGAAGGCATGCCGGCTCCACCGGGGTCGGTCGAGACGGATGCTGCCCGGCTCTCTGCTGCGGGTTGTATGCGGGGTCGTGAGGGACTGGCTCCACCGCTCTTTATGGGGGCTTCCAGAGTCAAGCAGCACCTGCTCTGACAACATCAACACCCACTGACCCCTGTTTGGCAGTTTCACAGCTGTGGCGTTACCATAGGCGCTGATGGATTTGTCTCCGCATCTACACCGTTTCTACCCTGTAACTGGATGTCACCGAGACCTCTGCTCTGACCTGGACTCTCTCTGGTCCAATCAGGTCTGCTCCAAGCCAAGTTTACACAAAGTATTAGACCCAATCTTAATTAAGGCGAGGCCGGTTTATTTGCACATTACTTTTCAACAAGAAGCACTTTAAATTAAAGAAAAAAAAGCTCTCATTCCTGCAGACATTTTTGTAAAAAAAAAGAAAAAGGGATCTCTGGAGGCTGCAGGCTTACTGTAAAGTCACAGGATACCTAGAAGAACCATGAAATGTGGAACATTTCACGCTATAACGAGATGCAGGATAGCTCTGGGTTAAAGCCGGAGCACGACTGCCAATGAGTCAATCTCGAACATCAGCATAAATCTGGCCGCGCACAATCCCAGATCCACAGCTGTCCGTGTCTTTGGCCTTGAATTTAAACGCGATGAGAGAAGCGGGACACACGCAGTCTGTTAGCAGCAGCGCAGAAAAGATTGAGCGTGACTTTGTTTTCGCTCTGCCGTATTATGATAAATGAGCCAGATAAAAGAAACGCGTTTTAATATAAAACAACTCATTTATTTGGGCTTTGATGGAATCGAATGTGCGCGTCTGTTAACATCTCAAAGCCGCTCATTAACAGAAATGTTTTGTTTCCCTCAGCAGTGAGCTGTAATTAGAATGGCAAAACTGATATCCCCTTGTATCAGTCTGATTCCGGGGAACATGTGTGAGAGATTTTGGGGGGTGGGGGTGAAAGGAGAGCGCTAATACAAAGCAGCTGTGTGTGGAAGATTCAGATGTTGACGGATAGGGCTGAGAGCAGCTACAACTCTTGCTTAAACCAGTGTGGCCAATAATAAAGTGATAGAAGTTACATTCTTTGCCAAGGACTTCTCTGCAGGCATGTCCACGCAGACCAATGAAAGGCACTGGCTGCTGCTGATAGGTGATGAATGGCTCTCGTATCGGGAATACATTTCCTGTGGGCATGCCTCACGCTACACGACAGACAGAGAAAACATTAGCAGCGTATTTTGGTTTAGCGAGGGAGCTTCCCCGACATTATTCATGCGCTTCTTATTGCCCGACTAATTCCAGTTTGTGTAGCTTTGTGGCGCACAAGTGTCAAATTTGACTTATTTAAAAAGGCCAAAAGGTATAATCTCCAACATCATGGGAACAGGAATGACTCATTCTTTATCTCAGTGCAGCTAATTCAAAAGAATGACTTTGTTCAACCCGCAGCTGTGACAGATTTTGAGCTGAATTTCTTTTTTGGCAAACGAGGGAGCTCACAGCGCTGGATATACCCACCCTGGGCTGTCTGCACTCAGGAGGCTGTTGATGGCTGCAGGAAGCTCCGACTTCAAGATGAACAAATAGGATGACATGGCTGAGAAGCGAGAGAACAGAAAGGGTTCAGAAATTGAGTGTTTATTAAAAAAAAGAAAGAAAAAAAACGCGCTCATAATCACACCAAGCTACTAAATCATAAAAACAGCAGATGAATGTGTGCTGTCACAAGCAATCATAAGCTGCTGTGTGAGGATGATGAGCGTTTTTCCAGTGTGAGGAAATAGCAGGGTGGAAGCGGGGGGGTTACTACGGCTCCAATGCAAACGGGTGGGGCAGGCAGCTCAAGGGGATCACCGGCAAAGCCCTTGGCATAGAGGAGCGGACATTATGCAGGACTTCCAACTGCTGGAGACCGCGAGTAGCAGCCAGGACGAAGAAGTGCGAAGGGGGGAGGAATGCTAACAATAATGATCTCTGACGCTAATCCAGGTACTTCTCCCCCTTTCTCCACCTCACTAGGAAACAGGATACTTCCCTGTATGCACAGGCAACCAATCAGAGAGAGAGAGAGAGAGGGGGGGGGGGGGGCCGTTTTTGTGAGTATTAGAAGCCCCAAAAACAAGAAATCAAGCAAGAAAGGGGAAAGAGAGCATCATCAAAAGTGAGCGCGTTTGGTATTCAGATGCAGTGTGTGGCCAGTTATAAAGGGAGATAATGTTAAGGGATTTAGATTTGTGAAGCCACGCTAGCCAGAGTTAGTTGGGCCCTTATTGCCTCGGAGGGCAGATCTTGCGCTAGCCGTTAAATAAGCCTGACCTTAATCCCCCAGATCCTGTATTTGTTTATGAAAGAAAATTCCCCCAGCAACACTTCGGCCCACACAGACGCACGGACATTCCCTCTCTGAGAATAACTGCAGACATTTTATGTAAGCGCTCAAATCTGTCAATAAGATGTTACTCTGAGGCTGCGGGGTCTTTTTTTAGCGGATTAATCAAAAACGTACCCTGGGAGAGTTCATCCGTCAACTTAAAGAAAGCATGAAAATTTTTTTATATTATATGTATCGTTTTAAGCCACAGACAAATAAAGACATGCTGACAGAGATCACACACAGCAGACATGATGCAATGGTTTCGTTCGATGCAGCTGGTTACTGTAAGTATAACACCACATCTGTGGAAACTGCTGGTGGGACAGTATTTGCATCTTTAAAAAAAAGCATGGAGGGAAAAAAAAAAACCCTGAGTGAAGAGAAAGCATTGCCAAGTGGTAAGAAAACGTATTAGAATAATAAGTACGTATGTAAACTTCAAGAAAAGTTGACCTAAACCTTCTGTGTGTGGTCAGCAAATAGCGGCAGAGTGTGCTCAACAAAGGCCAGAGCCACTTTCATTTCATTAAGGACAAGGGCCGAAGCCGGCTGTGAGAGCCCTGGGCTGGTCAGTAATTAAGGTCAATTGGCCCATCAGCCTTTGGCAGTGCAGATGAATGTTTACCCAGAGTGAGGCTAATTGCACTCTTATAAAAGGGGCCCGGGGTATAGACAGATGCATGCTGGAGTGCTGGCTCTCACACTCTCACACATATTGCCCCCATGCTGGGAAAACCGCACACATACCAGAGGGCACGGCAATAATCCACTCAGCCGTGCCACTAATGACTGCAGAGGAGCTATCACCTCAGCTCTCGACTGTCTGGGAAGCACGGTTTGTGGCTGAGGAATGACAGTAAGAGAAAGAGAGAGAGAGAAGTGAGGGGGTGGGGGAAATAAAGGGAGGGGTCCCATTAGGCTACTCCACACACAGACGGTGGGAGTGGGTTTACCATCAGCGATCAATTAGAGGAGAAGTCGTGTTTCAGGCTCAGGGGAGGAGACAGCGGCTGCAGGGTCAGAGGTTATCAGGGAATCGAGATAATAGCCACACAGGAGGGTGGCTGTAAAACACCAGCCATTTGGGCACCAGCAGGAGGCGCTATCTACCTCCAAAATAAGCTGACCATAGTCTGACCCTGCAGCACTCCTCACCCTCTTCACCACCCTTCTCCTATAAAAACCCACAAAAATCAGTTCCTGTCCAGCGTGTCAGAAATGATGTATGTAACTGCACATTGAACCGGGGGCTCACTTACCACCAATATTTTGGATAAGAATAGTAGCGATTCCAACCAGAACCTAAAAAGACAGTCAGTGTGAGCAAGTTCTCTGGTCACGGTGGAAAAACTTGTAAAAACTTTTTGGCAGGGCAAATGTGCAGCAATCCAAAAATCAACACTTACTTTTCCTGGTTTTTGTAAGGCTTCCCCTCCGAGGTCTTCATATGAATTGATACCTAAAGCCAAGAAGAAGAGGGGAAAAAAAGAAGAATCAGACATGAAAACGATGTCAGGATGACAATCACATCACAAAATTCTTCATGGAAAAATGGGATTATCTGGTTTTTATCTCCTCTCTTTGCTCCTGTAAAATATTATTTAAACATCATCTGAAGTTTCTCACAATGAGGATGCAAATAATAAGTAAATGGAACGGGAAAAAAAAAAATCAAGTGAGGGTGTTTAAATGTAACAACTCTGGATGAAGCTCCCTGGATACACCCACAGAGACGTGTTACCCTGCATCCCACCCACCTGTTTGGTCACAGAGCTTCAGCAGGAGGTGTATAGAGTATGCAGCCAGGCTGGATACCAGCACCAACAGGATACTGGAAAAAAACGTTTCTCATCATATCTTTACAAGCACGTATCAAATTGTAAAGCAAAAATAAACACTGGGAGACACAGTTTTAGATGCTCTATAGGAATTATAACAAACTAATCCAGATATCGTCTGGGATACCAGGGGTCAAGTCATGCATTTTTCTGCCTTACGCACCGAGAAGATTCTTACCAAAACCCAACTATTCCAGTGCTAGCCATGGCATAAGCTAGACCCAGTATGCCGCTGCCCATGATTGCGTTCATCAGGTTAAACACAGAGGAGGCGAAGGAGGCACCTCTGGCTCTGGATAGCACAGCTCCCTGCACATATAACACACAATATAAATAGCATGAAGAAAAAGATGCAGCAGAAGAAATCTGATTATTTTTGTAAGAGCCTCAGGAAGATTACTCATGACAGTATTAAGAACAACTGGCTTGCCCTGATGATGGATGTCATGAAAAGAGCACAGCAGTGGCATGGAGGATCAGGGAATGGAAATGGGAATGGATGGAGAGGGATTTGAGCTGCTGGCTGTGGGACAGCTGCCTGAGCTCAGGATAAGGGGAGCTGCCCAAACTGCTTGACCTCTCTAATGGGGGATATCCTGGACAGAACGATTGGCAACTCTTGTGTCGGTGTCACAACAAGCTTAGATTGACCTTCAGGCTGTTGCAGTCCCCCCTGTTACAGTACTGAGAGACAGGAAGTGAACTAAGACCCGAAATTAATAAGAATATACAATTTAGCTGGAGTTTATTGTAAAGCATGGCACACTGAGGTAAAGCTTATCCTAGCTTGCACAGGGTACAATTCAACACAGTTGGAAGCAAAACAAGAAGAAATCAAACCACTGTGATGGATGTTTGGAGACAAAGTTAGAGAGCCAAAGCTGAGTTGGTTTGGACGTGCAGAGGAGGGAGAGTGGATATATTGGACAAGGAATGTTGAAGATGGAGCTGTCAGGCAGGAGAAAAGAGAAAGACCACACAGATTGTTGATGGATCTATTCAAGGAGATCATGCAGAGGGTTGGTGTGACAGAGGAAGATGCTAAGGATAGGCTGAGACCGAGGCAAATGATCTGCTGTGGTGACCCCTAAACAGAGTAGCCAAAGGAGGGAGAACATGTTGTTTTCAGTACTTTGCAAACATGTGTACGTCCAGATTGAGCCGCATGTTCACACCATGATGACAAAATTTATGGTAACCCTCACATACTCTCAAACACTGAATCAACAACACACACCACACACTATGTCTTGCTTAGATTTGAACTGTAACTCTATATTGCTCACTGAAATCAGCCACATAAACTAACAAAATCAAGCTAGAAAGAGTCTCTCATTACCTTTAGACAGACAAGCTAAAACTTCTAAACTCTCTAAACATACATTACTGATGTTTTAAAAATGACTGTAACAGTCATTTTTTAATATAATGCTGTAATACGGGTGAGGTCAAAAAGTTTTTGTCTGAAGTTAAAATTCTAAACATTTAAGTGGGCACTGAAATAGTCTCTGTGTCACAATAAAGTCTTTATCTGCATTATCAGTGCACTGTTTTAGCTTCAAGTAGCTTCAGCAAACAACATTAAATGAATCTAGTCTGACATCAAATCAAAGCATAAGTGGTTCAAAGGCTGAAATATGATTTTGGTTTGTTTTTTTTCTTCCATTTTCCCCTGCACACTATTAAAATTGCACATTCTGAAGAGGTGCAGATGGAGACACTTTGGTTTCTGCAGAGTTTTTGCAGGATTCATCAGCAGCTTTGAGCAGTCTGTCAGCGTGTATGTGGACAACTGATTTAATATAACCACAACAACATCCTCAAATGAGGGACTGACAGTAGAATTGTCCATTTAACTGTGAAACCATGGTATGGAATTAAATCACGCTTCTCTTTCACACCAACCCTCTTCCTGTCCTTGACTACATCCATAGTCTCCTCTGAGGTCTTCCTCTTTCCCTTTTGCCTGGAAGCTCCATCTTCAATATCCTTGGTCTAATATAGCCACTATCCCTCCCTCCAAACAGTCCCGACTTTGTCCCTGTGATGTACTCCTTTCTAATCCTGTCCATCCTGGTCACTTGTCTCCAAGCACTCTCTTGTTCACCTCTCTTGTGCCCTGTCTGGTCCTTTGGATTTTTAACCAGTGAAATACTGAAATAATGCCAGTATATTAAAAAAAAATCATATATTTGTCTACTTCAATTTTGGACATAATTTACTAGCAAAAAAAAGACAAAGCCCAAAGGAAACAAAGTTAGAGATTAGCATGAGAGGGGGGAAAAAGAAGAAGAAAGAGAGGTTCTGGTGTTGGGTGTACTTTCACTGCAAGTGCTGACACAGGCAGAAAACAGATGAACAAGCAATTCAAAACAAGCACGTGATATTTTTCCTGGACATTTTGACAATCCTGATTTACTGACAACACTACAAAAACCAGCCATTTTAACTGCTGTAATTCACAGTGTATTATTAAATTAAACACAAAAAGTCACTGTTGATGTTTGACTTTTATTTTTTTAAATTTGGACCATTTAAAATATGTTTATTGAACTGTGATTTTAGATTTGTTGCAATTATTGCTACCCTTTCACCAGATTTATCTTGAAGAAAAAAAATAATTTTTTTATCTGAGATTGAAAATGTCTCTTGGATAAATAAAGTTATATAAAACACATAAATTCTTCCTTGTGACAGAAACACATTTATTTTCTGTCTCAGACTGTAGATTTTAGGTCAGCAAGTCATTCAGCGCAGTTTCACTTTTGGGTCTTCGCCTGTTGTTTTACCTGTAACAGAGGTGCAGTCTCTTCGGTGTCCTGGGCGGTGCGTTCACGGACCACGTCCACATCGTTGTTGATGCTCATTGTGGGTGGGGAACCGAAGCGGGAAACAAATTTATTAGTGTAAAAAAAAAAAACCCTCGCAGATTGAGAGGAGACGGGGAGCCGCAGAGTTACGATACCATCTCAAACTCTCCTCCTCTAAACTTGTCAGCTGATCACTGTTGATGTTGAGTCACGTGCCTCTTATTTCCGTCGCGTTCTACACATCAGAAATTACACCGTGCAATCAAAATGCGAGTCGCTGCTCGCTTGACCAATCACCGCTCGACTGTGGTCGACGTCTTATGACGTAGTTCAAGCATGCCTGTGATCGGAGGATGTTGAGGTGAGCTGTCTGGATCTGGTTTATCGTTAGTGGTTAATTGTATACTTTTGTTTTAAGCTTTGTTCTGATAATTTGAATGTTTTTTCTTTTCTGCCTGATTATTACGGCGTTATTATGTTCGTAGGTTTCTCGGCAGGATCTTTGTATCTGCACAAACTCAAAGGAGCCTGAATCCTGCCACTGTGCACCGCTGCTTTTGCTCTGCAGCGTATCCTTGCTTGGCTGTGAAGCCCATAATGGAGCCTAAACTGTACCGACCCCCTCCAGAGGTCCGGGGTATGACCTCTCTGGACAAAGACGCCTTCACACAGACTATTACAGTCCCTGCTCTACGGGTGCCCATTGGGGTCTTAAACAAAGTAGTGAAAAGCCTAAAAAAGTCGAGCATCCAGCGCCCTGGTGTGCCCAGGGTGGTTCAGGACAAAGAGCAGAGTAGCGACTTTCGCTTGGTCCTGTTGGACCCTCGCAGAGTCTCCTCGCCGAGCTCCTTCAGTGAGACTGAAGCTGAGGCTCTGAGGTCGTTCAGTGTCAGTGAGGAGCTCCACTACTATGAGCTGAAGCTGACCTATGACAACCTGAAGAGCGAAGAAGTGCTGGAGGCTGTGCTTCCCCAAGGTCAGGATGTGACCTCTGCGTTCAGTCGGGTGGGCCACATCGCACACATGAACCTGAGGGACCACCAGCTCACATACAAGAACCTCATAGGTGAGAGGCTGCTGCCTGGACCGCGGGAGGTTTTATTACAAACTGAAGTATCTACACGTCTTTCTGCTTATTTATTCACTTTATTTTTTTTAATGTGTCACCCAAACTTACCTGTGTCTTAAAATGTCAAAATGACAAGTACATCTGACTAAATACAGCTAACAGAAACAGTGGATCAGCTGGGATCACCCATCATTTCCAAATTTACAGTAAGGCTTCTTTTCTGTGCCTTCTCTTGCAGGTCAGGTGATCATGGACAAAAATCCTGGTGTCACCTGTGTGGTCAATAAGACGAACATAATCGATTCCACTTACCGCAACTTTAAGATGGAAGTGCTGGCTGGAGAGGAGAACATGGTCGCCAAAGTATGTGTAGTTCCACAGAGCCCTCTGTTTCACACTTGTTGTTATTACATATGTTCAGTGCACAGGCTAATCGCTGTCCCGATCCCGATCCAGGTGAAAGAAAACGGGGTGACGTACGAGTTTGATTTCTCTCGCGTGTACTGGAACCCTCGGCTGAGCACAGAACACCAGCGGGTGGTGCAGCTCGTCAAGCGCGGCGACACTGTGTTTGATGTCTTCGCTGGCGTCGGACCCTTCGCCATCCCAGCTGCTCGCTTAGGTGCCAGCATCTTAGCCAACGACCTCAACCCAGAGTCCTACCGATGGCTGCAGCATAACTGCAAACTCAACAAGGTGGAGAGCAAAGTCAGAGCCTTCAATCTGGACGGCAGGGCGTTCATCCGGGGACCTTTAAAGCAGGAGCTGCCTGTACTGATGAGGGGAAAATCTGCCGTTCATGTGGTGATGAACCTGCCTGCCTTAGCTCTGGACTTCCTGGATGCGTTCAGGGGCCTCCTGCACCACCAGGAACCTCCTTGTGATGAGAACCTACCTACAGTGCACTGCTACGGCTTCTCCAAAGATGATGACCCTGACACAGATGTGGTGGAGAGAGCTTCCCGCAGCCTCGGATTCCCTCTGAAGAACCAATGCTCTGTGCATTTTGTGCGCAACGTGGCTCCCAACAAAGATATGATGTGTGTGAGGTTCACACTCCCTAAAGACGTCCTCTTTGGAAGTGATGCTGAAGAGTCAGGTAAGGAATCACTCCTTCTTATCAGGTCTTTTCCAAAAGAAAAGGCTCAAACATCCCATAAATGTGGGAAGAAGAGGCATTGAAAATAAACAAGAGGAAAGCATGTTTGTCTTTTATTATGAAACTATTTCCTCAGTTTTCTGTCATAACATTTTAAGTTCCCACTTTACTTAGACATTACTTAGCCCATAGTGTGAATTTTGCATGCATGGGGGTGATTTCTGTGACCATAATTTAGACACAATTAAAAGTAAAGCATGAATACCTGTGTTTGCGCTGTTATATGTGCTGAAATTCCAGAGCTAATTTTCAACGTTGGCACAGAGATGGTTTCTATGATGTTTTTTTCTGTTTGTCTACAGAACAAATTGAAGAGCCAGCCTCAAAGAGACAGAAGTGTGAAGAAACTACAAATGCAACGTAAGGATAAATATCGACTTGGCACAATGAGGACCATGAGGATCAGCGTAGGAGCCGACTTTATTTTTTGCACTTAAATATTGTTTATTTGAAGAAGTCACGGCTCAGCTTTGTGACTAAGTCATTTGCATTTTCTTTTTTTAAATTCTGGCCTGCGTTTAATTTTAAAATAAATCTGCAAAATGACAGACAAAACCTCAGTGTTCATTGCAATTTATTTAAAAAATAAAGTTTGCACAAAATTTAAAAAGTTACATACAACATACATACAAGTCAGAGCACTCCCCACCCACAGCAGCGTAGTGGTAGTAGTGCAATATTTAAAGTCTTTTCAGTCACATTTCTAACTGGAGTAGCTTCTTCAGCCTCTCAGAGGGAACAGCCCGCTGAACGCGTCCTGGATGGCGCGATAACACGCCAAACCTGAGGTGTATCCTCCAGCTGTGTCCTGAGTCACGGCGGCCCGCACGTGATTCAGATACCTGAGAACAAATAGAAAGCTCTGCTGAGTAACACAGGTTGGATATGTTAGAAATAATCTGCCTGGCCGGCACCCCGAAGGCTGCTTTTAAAGACTCTTCCTGCGAATGTAGCCTGAGTTTAAGTTTATTTTTGAAGGTTTTTTTCCCTTCCTTCTCTCTGGTACCCTTTGGCCCTTTGATGAGATCAGCGAAGACGGACGTAGACATACACCGACAGTGGAACACCTTGTGCCTAAAAGTCTCTCCGACATGGCTCTATTAAAGTATTATAGCCGTTTTTATTTTTTCTAAGTGCTTACAGATGTATCCTGCCAAACCTCCTTTGCGGGGATCTTAAGCAAACGCGAACGTCACTGTTTATTTTCACAATCGTGCACAGGCAGAAAAAACAGTCACAGTGATAGCTGCCTCTCTACTTAAGTGCTCCGTCCCTTCCCAGTCGAGTAATTTCTCAAGTGTGTATTGTGCGCTTAAAAAGCGAGCCGTACCGTTTTCTCTTTCGTGTTACTACAAAGCAAAAAAAAAGCAAAAGGCCGCCAGCGATCCAGACAACACGTAGCCTTGCCCATCAATACTGCCCAAACCTCTCACGCCCCCCCGTCCTGCCATAGTCCTGGCAGAGGCGTCTAAAGCCCTCACACGAGTCTGGCTTTGTGGCCCCTGTTCCTGTGAGCTCAGTAAACTTCAAAGTGAAAAGTGAATCAAGAGCACAGACAGCACTCTGATTTCCATGCTCATTCAGGCTGCTTTACAGAGAAACCTAACACCTGCAGGGAGGCTCAGAGAGACTGACAGAGCCGAGGTGTATGTGAATGAGAGATGGATGAGGGGGAAAAAGGTGTTGGCGATAACACTCGCTGCATAGATCGGATTTTGCTTTCTGTTGTTCCTAACAACCCAATAAAAACATTGAAAATGAAGGTGAAACATGCTTGGTAGCATGTCTGTGACATTAAAAACACAAACACCTCACAACAGAGTGAAAATAACAAGGAGGACAGCACAAAATGTCAACCAGACGGTGCACACAAAGACCACTAGAGAAACGGCACACAAGTTCAAAACAGGAGGCCCAGTGATTAATAATAACTTCATTAGGCCCAAGCTGCTGTAGCCTGTCCTTCAGAGCACTTGAGGGAGGTCTTCTCATATGGCTTCCTGCATCAGATGAGTGCTATCTATTGATTATATTGTACTGGGCCTTTTTAATGGTGAAAAAAGTGGGCTATTTACAGCCTGGCTAAGTCTGCTCTTCCTGCTAATCTAATCCCCAAGCTACTCATGTGGTCATTCCTTCCAAGAAAGCTGAGAGCTCTGTGTAACTTTATACCTGCCTGCCCCTAAGGAGGGAGAGAGCGCAGAAAGAGAACATGAAGGAGAGGGAGGAAGAGTGTAGTTGAGGGGGTTGGGAAGTGGAAAGAGGAAGGAGGGGAGGATATGGGGGGAAATCACCTTTGGGTATCATCATCACAAACCCTCTTCTCTTAAACTAACCCTGCCTGCCCTCCGCTCACCCCTAACACCCGAGGTTAGTTCAGTTCTGCTCCATTAACTCGGCGGATAATATCCGCATCTTCCCATAAAGGCTAGATGTAAGTGAAGCTGAAAGATAAACTTCACATGACTGTACTTGACAGGACAGACCAGCAACAGAAGACGTGCAACAACAAGAATGCTTTTTTTTTTTTTTTTTTTTTAGCCAAACACCAACTTACGAAAAAAAAAAATTACTTGTGAAATAGACGCTTTGCTCCCCTCTGAACACTACTGCTACACTGTGTGCACCAATGCTCCTTCACCCCATCAGCTCCTCACCCCCCCTCCTCTCTCTCCGAGGACTGGACTGCCTTTTGTTTCGCAGGGCGCTGAAACCCAAGCTGTTTTGGCCGGTAACATCTTTCACTCTCCGGGCCCCACTGGAGCATTAGCTGCAACTCGATATGGGTCTTTTCAAAGCTTCGTATTATTGGGTAAATATGGGTCACTTTGGGCTCGCCCATTATGTCGCTAAGGGGGAGGCGGGAAAGGACGGGTGCAGGTGATGAAGACGACTGAATGACACAGTATGACACAGTGTGAGTGTTAGGACTGCAGTTGTCACAAGGGAATATGTAAAGGGGGGTCGAGGT